CCGTTCGGCAATGAAATACCCTTCGGCCCACCTGATGGCTCGCAACCACCACCACCTCCACCTCCGTTACTCGAAAATTGAGTGATGCACGCAGCTTGGGCCGTGGCGGTATATGTGATGGCAGCGTAGAGGGCGGCGAAAAGAAGAGTGTATCGAGCCATGCCTGCAAAGAAACTGTTAGTTGCGTCGAGATCAAAAAACCCTGGATGAATACAAAAGGAAGTACTCACTGAATGTTGGTCCGCTGAGCTTGATACGATACGCTATGAAAAATCGGAAATGATGAAGCGGTCTGGTGACAAATACTTCTTTAGGGGATAGGAATAGAAAGAGACAACCGCCAGGAGAACCTTTTCCGTCTTAAATATCAAGAACCGTCTGAAAGTTTGAGTCAGTCTGCTGGTGTATTGATAAATGATCTTCTCCTCATAAAGCTTCCTGTGTTATAAGACAAGGGGTATGGAACACTCCAACCCCCTGAAGGGGGTGTTCCCCGAGGTAAGGAGGTGTAGTCAAGTCTTTTCCCCCTTAAACCCCTAATAATAAGTCTACCTGCAGTCACTGATGATTTGTATCTCAATCCCCTGAGAAATTTATGGGGAAACCCAACAGTACTGACTCGGGATGAACTTATGTTATGACACGCAAAACACACAGTCCGCCTCCTTGGTACAGATTTTCCAATAAGAGCATGTTACATACCAGGCACTCTCGGAAGCAAGATTAAGTGTTTTGCCATTTACTTATGCCTCTTAAAATGCACGTAGTTCAGCTAGAAAGGAAGAAAGAAGACCGCAAATCCCGCTTTTGTGGTAATTAGTCGTTAAGCCGGGTGGTTCAGAAGTACACATTCTAGGAGATACATTGCAGTGATCTGGCAACTCACGCACCCTCTTTCAATCGCAGATCCCGACCAGGCTGAAGACAAATTGCAATTCATCATGTTATCCTTTTTGATAGAAAGATGTGATCGGATGTAATCACTCTTCGGCTTGATCGGCATCTAGGTTTGATTGCGAAACGTATCCCACCGGGTGCAGGATGACGCCGAAAAAAGGGTCTACAGTGCGGCCCAATTTTTACTCCAACTACGAAGTAAATTGAATTCTTCAAGTAGTCAAGTGAAGATCTCATGCTTCTTTGTATGCATTGATTGGAGGTCGCACAAGGGGTTACCTGTGTCATGCGGCAGCCGGTGGGATACGAGGAGCTAGTCCGCCAGAATCAACCCAATGCGCCAACGTGACTAGGCCGTGATCGAGGAGTTGTTGCTTGTCAGGGCTCGGGAAGGAAACTACGCCCAACCGGCTGTTCTGCTACAACGTGTCGCATGCCATGTGTCTATCCAGTCGCAAAGTTGAAGCTTGCCTGCGTCCGGGCGGGATGTTGGGTGGATGCTGCGTTGAGCGTAACAAGTGATTATTGGTGTGGACTTAGAGCAGAACGTGATAATCCCGCTGAGCACCTCGACCGCCCACGAACAGTTGTTGCACATCTTGCCTCGTGTAGTATTACTTCGGGAGGGCAGTCACCGAATTTACGCAAGGACACCCTGCCAGACATCATCAACCATCCAAATGAAGGGAACTGAGTCAAAAGGACCTTCGCAACTAATTAGAATAAATCTATCTTCTTCAACTAATCCTTATACCTAAATCACAGGAACAAGCCTTCTTACTCTACGGTCTAATCTTTCCGACCACGCTGCTTCGTTCAAGAGTCATAGTTGACTACCTCCCCGTCGTGCTGGCTGAGCTTATACTCGTTCTCGAAACTCCTGGCGCCGAAATGCAGTGCATCTTTCTGAGCCATAGTTGTAGGGACGAGCAGTTGCTCACTTAGTCCAATATTAGAGTACGGCGATTTGGCTGAGGGACGTAGATCAACACAGATTGGACGTAGAGTCTAGTTTTCTGGCAGCATAGTTGGATGGCACCCAAGCTCGAACGAACGCTAGAATGGCGCATTCCAGAGTGGTACAAAACATAGTGCCATCTACATATATCACGTTTAGGTGCTGTATCAACACTTCATTTCATTATGGTTTCTCAGAGCTCCATTATTCACAATGAAAACCCCTTCACTTAGTCTAACAACAGCACGGCATGAGACTCAAAGCACTGACAAACTTGCTATGAATATCAGCTGCCAAAGGACATTCCGGCGCATGCACATAATGAGGAGTCTCATCCATTAATATGGATCATGGTTGCGAATGTGTCAATCATCTTGCAATCACAGGTAAGGGCAAATGGTCTGTCGGGTAAAGATCTGATTGTTGATAAAGAGCGTCCTATCTCTCCGACGTCTGAGGTTTAAATGGGTGCCTAGTACCCAAATTCTCACATTGTTGGCGTAATGATCGCAGGCGCCTAAAGTGTTGGAAACTTCTGATAGGCTATGTCGCAGAAGCCTTGGTGCGCGTTTTGTTGCTTAAGGGCAGCCTCCGAACGGGCCCTTGGACCAGTCAGGGACGCAGCCCTGGCGAGCCTCCAGCTCAGGCTCGGCCTGCTGGCTGGAAGGAGCTGCAAGAGACAGAGTAGCTTTGACGGTTAGTCCAGTTGGCTCAACTTATAACATGGCTTGGCCATAGAATCATGGAAACGTACCGAAAAGAGCCAAAACAGAGATGTACTTCATTTTGCCGAGGATAGGGAGTTCAAGTTGCTTGAGAGTGTTTTGCAGTCGTTGGGAGTGATAGTGAAAGGTCAGAAAGTAAGCAAGTAAGGAGTCAGGAACCAGACTGCTCTTATAGTCTTTTGACCCCCTCCAACTCTGATCTCGATCTGCAATGTTGGCTATCTTGGCTATCGGCCAGAAAGCTTGACCTCGGCAATTGCTTGCAATGGTGGATACGTATTACCAGACTGCATCAATTCAATTTCGTTTGCCGTACAAGATCATGCCCCTTGTCCTATGTTAACTGGTTGAGCAGATCTGATTAGATGAGATAACTGATCATCAACCAAGGTCAATCTTGGATGCTAGTGACAAGAACGGCAACGTCTTCGCGAATCCCACTCCAATTGACGTAATAGGATGAAACAATCCAATGAGCATAGGCTCTATGGATCACGCGAAGTTGCGTTGTAGACGTTGAGTTGCATCCCGCGCGCCAAGTCGACCGCGCGGTCGAATGGTTCCGCGGCGGGAAAGTTGAGCTACGCCCTTCTCCATAGGTAACGAGGTGCTGAGGTTTTGAATCTTGCACCATTCTAATTAACCCGTCCCAATGTCTTTGTTCCAGTGCAAACTACGAATTCTAATGAAAGACTCTGATGTTATGCGCAACTTCAAACCCGGTGTCTAGACCTGCGCGCTCTGACGAGGAGTGGCTTTGGGCATGAAACTCCCAAAGTAGCTTTCCTGCAAACGATGTGATGTCAATCTCAATGCATTTAAATACCTCTGAAGATCTCACACAACATTCCGTGCGGACTTCACTAATATCCTCTCGTTGAAACAACCGAGGTAGCCCGGTCAGGGTACAGTATTAGTCAACGCATCGAATTAACCTCTAAAAGGACAAGCCGAAGAGAATCTAACACGTCAGAATATATGATTGAGAAGCACGCCAAACACTCTCTACGCAAACTTCTGAGATTTTGATTGACCTTTCTTTCTCTGGCAACTATTTCGGTTAATACATCCATGGATGATCAAGGTTCAGCCTAAACACCGCACTCTGGTACCAAAACAGAGTATATAGACCATGTCCCTAAAGATCACCTGGATAGCAGAATGCAGATGTCGTTCATAGCCTTAGAAACCTTTGTGTCACCGTTAACTCGCAGAAGCCTCGTTACCGAGTCCGATCGTCCGAAGTAACTGGCCGTTTGCGGTGGACGGCTTGGCCCCACCCGTCGGAACTCCAGCCGATCGGTGAAGCAGGGTTCCGATGCGCAACAGGACGAGGGTAAATTTGGGCTCCCATCTGATCTTCAGATGCGACGGAAGCGTTGTAGTTGTAAAATTGACATGGATCGCCTCATTTTCTTGTCTCCGCACAACTATATTTCCTGTAGATTTACCTACCTGTATTTGATACGGATAACAGTGACGACGTTGGACACAATAACAATGACGACGACAACGGCGACAATAATGACAATGACGATGACGGTAAATCAAAGTAAGGTGCCCAACCATAGGAAATATAGTCGCTGTAGAACAGGAAAAGTAGGTAGTCGCGGAAAAGCAACCGGAACTCTTCTGGGAACATAATCCCATAGCTTCGACAAACATATCAAGCAGTTCGAGCCCTGCAGGTCAACGCGTTGCCCTCAAGTCTGTCAGCAAAAGAGATGACGTAGTTCTACAAGTCTGCATCAGCATCTAAAATACAAGAACAGCCGAGAATCCGAATATCCCCCAGTGGGCTCCAATCCTCTGATGACATCACCCCAAGTAACTTGACGCATAAGCCATGGAGATGTGCCTAAAGTCTTACTGCCTTAGGGTCCGTCTTACATGCTTTGCCAAGTATTTATTGGGACTTTCGTAATGAGGCTTTCCGAAGTACTTCCATCAAGAGACTTTTGTCCATTTTTCGTGGATGAAAGGTCCCCCGTAAATCGTGGCCCCAGGTACTGCAGGGTCCACTGCACGTACATTGGCGTTGCAGTCCCTTTTGCGTCAAAGAAAATCATTCATACAAACTAGACATCGATTTTCCTCTGTTGACAACGATGGTATTCTGGTACGCCGGCCAATTCAAACTACCAAAAATGGGTCAGATCGGTCGGTCACATAGGACCGCGACCGGCCATTAATACCAGACGTGTTGCAGCCGCCATCGGATATGCCCTCATCGGCTACCCCCCCATCGGATATGCCCTATCGGACACATCTGACATATCTGACATGCATCCTTCTCCCTTTCTAGATTTTCTTTGATCTGACATGCATGAGCCAGCTCTGACCTGATAAAAGCCTCGAGTTCACCCGACCTCTGAGTACAGCATCTCTTCTGTTGTCAACTCAATTATCGTCCCAGAATCATGGCGGAGTCAAAGTCCGAAACGACCTTCTACGTCACAATCCACCTCGACCCTGAGAATGTGGGGAAATGGTTTGAGATAGCCAAGCCGGTATTTGAGAAAATCAAAGCAGAGCCTCAATTGGTCTTTTTCGAGTTGTACAGATCGCCGAATGACCCTGGAGCTATCTCGTGGCTCGAGAAGTGGTGAGTGCATTGCGATATACTTTCTGGCCCTGGTCAATCTATTCTGGCTTATCCCGTTTCCATGTACCAAGCAACGAATTCTGACCAGAATCGCAGGTCCGAGTCTCGCGAATGGCTCTTTGAGGTTCGCAAACCCTTTTTGATGATGACAACCTCTACAGAAATGACATCTAACTGGACTTAACCACAGATTCAATTGAAGAAGGACTACTACACGGACTATTTTGCAGCAACAGAGCCTCTCTTCGTCAAGCCACGCGAAATAAAGTTTCTGACCCCAGTTGGGTCGCCTTTCTTTCACTCGAAGAGTTGAATTCCGTCACTCTTGGCGCGCATCCATGTATCATGGATTCAGACCCAGGTCACGTGGTCGGAGGCGGACTCTCCATGTCGGCCCCGAGGTTTTGCGGCCATACTCTTTGACACCATGGTTGGGCGAATCATAGGTTCGCGTACCTACTTGGTACGACGTGTGAACTCCTTTCGGATTAAAGTTCAATGGTCGCACTAAGGGGTTCGTGGGGGTTCATCGGCTATGAGGCACGGGCATCGGTGGTTATCAGTTGGCTCCGGTTCAGTCCATACCTTAGACAAGCACCTCTTTAAAGACAACGCCGCATGGGCTGCAATACATCGCCGCGCCCATTCCTCATTATGTGTGCTACGTGTGTCTCGTCTTTGGAGTACTCCCAATCCCCGAAGATGCTCTGAACAAAGGATTGGTTGCTCCATTTCGGATGACTTTTGCCGATGGAGTTTGGTGCGATAGGGGGCCAAGCGAGCAAACGGGGTCTTCGAGATCCAGTTCCCATGATCACGAGTGTACCTTGAAACGGCGGTTGCATTGTAACTTCGGCAAGGCTGCTTTTTCTAGGATTTTATGGCCTCTGCTGCCAAGAGACCCCCCTCGGACTCGTACGTCGTACTCAGCATGGATCGCAATCCACTTTCAACACGCTCATCGTTTGCCGAGCCAGAGTGTGCTATTTGACGATCATTGACACGATAGCAAGATCTGAATTCAAAACTGTGATCTATCTGTTCATGTCCGGTATGACGGCATGGGAAGCAATGGCAATCAATCTGATATGAATGGAATGAAGAAAATCATTCCTTGACAGGCTTGAATGCAACCCCGCGTAATAGTGCTTCGCATAACGCCATTCTGACCTGCATTACCACCTGCAGCATGTAGCGGCAGTTTGTTTCAACATGCAAGTATCTCAGGAAAACTCCCTGCATTGCATCTGATGTCTCGCCCGGTGACTACGCAACTAGTGCCGGCTTCTGTGTGAGCCAAGAGACAAGTGCAACACCAATTCCTGCGTTTCTCGCGGCACCGACGAGGTGCCAGAGATCCTACGGAGTATTACCATACCCATGAATGTTTTCTGCCCGATACTCTGGCTCCTTTGCTGGCTTTGGAGGGCCGCACCCTGTATTCATTCGCGGAGGCATGCGCGTCGCACCTAGGGTTGAATAGGGGTATCTCGTGCTCGAGGCCGTATCTTTCCATCTTCGATTATGTTCTCGAAGCACTCTTTTGTACTTCAGCCGACCTTACTATCGGAGTCTTATTTGTACCTGTTTATTCGTTTGAAATCTCTTGCATGCCATCTGAAGCTCAAGTCGTGTTCCAAAGACTATGCTTTTCTCGCTCATAGACATTCAAGATCCTCGCCAGTCCCACTGAGCACTCACGATCGATGAGACCTGACCCATCTCGTCTATCGCATCAACAAGAATCAAGACATGCGCAGCTCGCCACTTGACCCGTTATTGGAACTCTGCACCGAAAGGAACGCATTTTAAAGTTTACGGTATCGCAACTCCCTGTGCCGTGAGGGCGAACATCACTCTCCAACCCCGGGAACGAGTGGGGTCCGGTCATTCGAAGCACCTCCAACGGTTTATCGACAAGGGTTGTTGGACATGGGCAGACAAGGACACCGAGTCATGTCTTCCGAGACCCTGCGTGTGATTACCGGTTCTCGTTGCGCCGAGGAGCCCTCAGTGCATGGGACAACCTAGAGGAATATCAGTCACGGAAGATTCTCCCCTGCGGCAGTGCCCGGGCGTTTTTGCATGCTATCCTGTTTTATGGTGATAACGGCGGCCATAGTAACCCAACTGCTACTTAGTAGGTGCCAGATGCCACGCCAGCATGAGATAGAGAGGGAAGGGTCTCTTCCGTGGATGAACCGCCGGTGATAATCTGCTGCGAGGAGTATGCGGCACGACACTCCTTTGCTATCGCCATGATCAGGACCAGAATTGGCTCGAGACACCTTCCGACACATATTTCACTGTGATCCCCACGGTCGGTTTATGGCACCGTGTCCACAATTTAAGCAACGACGAACACGACGCTCTCAGTGCCGACCGAACACAGCAAACTCGTCTTTTGGTCACTGACCTACGGGCGCGAATTTGCCCAAGTTGCCTGTCATGGTGACAATGAACCACGACTACACCAAAGGCCAGATGATCGGTCTGGCCGTTGGATTCATGATCATTCCGACCATATTCTATGTGCTTCGAATATGGGCGAAGCTGCTGGTCAAGCGATTTGCGTGGGATGACTACCTCGCGGGGTTTGCGCTGGTTCGTTTTGCCCTCCGTCTGCCTGCCGGTCGAGGTGCTGACAGATCCTGCAGCTGGTTTCCATCACCTGCTGTACTTTACAATTGGCTAGTAGGTTTTACCTTCACATTGACTTTGATCATCTGAGGCTAATCATCTGAACAGCCGCGATCCATGGACACTTGGGCCAACACCAACCTACGTTTCCTGACGGGTCACCGATCATGGACGATCCAGGGTTGATCTTCTTCGAGGAGGCAAGCCTAACCTTAAACTTTCGTCTTGTTCTTGGCTCTTGCTAACAAGCTTTATGTCGACATAGACCAAGTTTGCACTGAACATGATATCCATTCTGGGCTTGGGCCTAGTCAAGTCGTCCATCTTGGTGTTGTACCGGAGCCTCTTCCCAAGTCGCAGGTTTCACTACGTCGTGTATGCCGCTCTTGCTTTCGTCATTGGATGGACCGTCAGCTTCTTCTTCTCTCATTTGTTCACATGCTACCCTATCACCGTTTTCATCGAGCCTTACTACGGCAACTCCTGCGTGCAGACGGTGCCCATGTTCCTGGCGCTGCTGTTTACCGACGTGGTGGCGGACTTTGCGATACTCATACTTCCCATTCCAATGGTCATAAGGGTAAGAATGCCGCTGAAGAAGAAGTTGGCTGTGATCGGGATGCTCGGGTTGGGCGCAGCGTAAGTTTGCATAATCTCGGTGACAGAAAAACATAGCTAACTGTATGTGCAGGGTCTGCGCAGTCAGCGTTACAAGAGTGATCGCTACCTTTGCCATTGCGGAAGAGTACATCAAGCATCCGAACGACGTCATTTGTAAGCTATGCCACAGTCTCAATTCAATGGAATGCCTATTGACCCCATGTGTAGACTATACTGCGCCAGTATTCTTCTGAACAAACATTGAGCTATCTTTAGCGATTGTATGCGCCTGTCTCCCAACTCTTCGGCCGATCTGGTTGCACTTCTTCCCGAAACCTGCGGCGACAGGGAGCAACTCGTACGAATACGGATCATCAAAACGTTATGGAGCCCGAAAGAGCAGTCTCAGAACTCCGCCTTACGAGGAGTTGGACGAACTTGAGTTGACTCGACATGATGGGTTAACCCGGTCAGGATCAATCAGAGAAAACGACATCGTGAGGGAGACTACCATATACCAGACGATCGAGCCATCGGACAATTCCAGCACGGTCAACTTGAGAACAAATGGACTTGGGTTATAATGGGGATGCTAAGGGAAATGGGCGGAGGCGTTAATGGATTTGGGGGCTGGACGGATAACCGGAACTTTACTTCACGGGAAACAGTTACCAACACGAATTGAGCGCCATCGACGGGGCTGGGTTGCAAGATCTTGGCCGTTTTCGACTTGAGTACCATTTACGATTATTCCTAGTGGGCCGCGCCCAGCAGTAAGCAGTATTACGAATCCCTCAAGGGTCCGAGGCCGCGAGTGATTTCATTTGATCCCGCGGTATGCGCAGGGTGTTGGCATCACGTCTAACCTGATCGAGGAAGAGTCACTTTTCTCACCGTCCAGGGTTGCAACGCCGTGAACAGAAGTTTCAATTGTGGGGTTTGTAATCGTCGCCGTTCATGCATGGACTGTCAATGTATTCTGTTCTTTTTGCCAGTGGTGAAGGCTGGCCGAGATATTCGTTTTCTGACAATTCTTCGATCGGTGGTCGTGCTACTGACCCGCTGATGATCTGCTTCAGCGGTCGAAATAACCTTAGTATCCGCTCTTTGGGGGAGGGGCAGTGGAGAGGGCGCCCTATTGAGTCAGGGAAGCGGGCGATTCTGCAACACGATGTGCAATCGTGAGTTGAACAGCAGAAATCCCGCACAGCCAGGTCGAACCCAGCTCCGAGCTCCACACGTGGCGCGGGGGGCTTCCAACACGACCTTGCTCTGGTGGAATTTGCAATCTCGGGGACGTAGGAATGGACGGCTGCGTTGGTGTCTTGAAGGCTGGCAAGACTTCGTCGTACGATTGGAATATTCGGACTACGCCCCGTCCGCTAAGGTCCGTATACCCCGAGATGCTACTGTGCCACTGAAGATGGGGAAGATCCCCTATCCCTGCCCTTGCCAAGGCACCTATACTATGCAGTATTCCTCACGGAAGGGCCAACGCATTCGGCAATTCATGTTCTTCAACGGCGTTGCTTAATCAAGGTAGGTCATCAAAGGGGCTTCTGGAAAGATCACAGCATGTCACGCAGACGCGTGCCGACGCCCGCTCACAGACCCTTAAGATCCCAAACCTGTCCTTTCAAATGCACGAGCTCCTTGGCTGTCACTGTTTCTCGTTGACGATCACTCGCCGTTGTAACCCCGGTCACACTCTGTTTTCTCGTTCACCATGCGGCTTCTACTCGTCGGTGTGCAGTTCCTGACCATGGTAGCATCTGCTGCCGTCGATGTCAGTGCTCGCTCTGTGGCCGATGATTTGCTCAGTCTTGTCTCGACCTCATCTGTTGGCGTCCAGGTGAGGGCGAGATGGAGTGACTTTGATCTGCCCACGCCATCTGTGATCGTCAATGCCACCTCTGAGAAGGATCTGAGCGCTGTGGTATGTCACCTGCCCCTGACTATCATCTGAGACTAGTAGCCATGCTCATGGATCTTCCTCTGACAGGTCAAATACTGCGCCAAAAACAACATCCCCTTCCTCCCTCAAAACGGCGGCAATGGCTGGGCGACTGGCCAGTTCAACTTGGGCAGCACCGGGGTCCTCATCAACCTCGCCGGCCTGAACCAGGTCAACATCAGCTCTGACAAGAAGACAGCCACGATCGGAGGTGGTGCACTCATCGGTGATGTGATCACTGCTGCGGATGCCGCTGGTGTCCTCGTCCAGACGGGTAACTGCAACTGTGTCGGAGCTCTGGGAGCCGCTCTTGGTGGTGGCTATGGAAATATTATGGGAGAACATGGCTTCGCCGTCGACAACATTCTCTCCATGAGGGTGGTCACCGCCAGCGGAGAAGCTCTGACTACCTCGAGCACATCTAACCCTGATCTTTACTGGGCTCTCCGAGGAGCTGCACCGAACTTCGGCATCGTCACTTCTGCGACCGTCAACGCATTCCCGACGACGAACCGCACTTCATGGATCATGTCACTTACCTTCGACCCTGCGAAGATCGCCGACGTCGCCCAAACGATCCAGGACCTTCCCCTCCTGCCGCAACAGGTTGTCTACTTGGTCCTCACGAACTCTGGTGACGCTTCCAACTCTCCCATGGTTCTCGTTACCGGATTCCTCCGCGAGGGCACCGAAGAGCAAGGTCTCAAAGCCTTTGCGCCTCTGTACAGCCTTGGCCCCTTGACCAACTCCAGCGCAGTGACGCCCTACACCAGCTGGAACGCTGCGAACGACAACTTCTGTGCCCGCGGGGGGCGCAAGCCGGCGTTCAGCACGACGATCAACAACATGAAGGCGGAGACATGGCCCGAGATCTGGTCCCTGTACACTGGCTTCCAGAACCAGTCGACTGCTCAGAACTCTGCTGTCCTGATCGAGCGCTACAACCTGACTACTGCCAAATCAAAGCCCGCGGGCTCCGCAGCCATGCAAGACGAACTCCGCCAGGAGGCATTCGCGCAGGCAATTGTTATCCCTTGGTATGAGGATGCCACTCTGGACTCTGTGGCGGAGACCTTTGGCTCAAAAGTCAGGGACATCTGGAGCTTCTCATCTAGTGCTGTTGTGAACCCTACGTAAGTTGGAATGCTGTATGTGAGACTCTGCCTTTTTGCTGACGAAAGATTGCGTAGGTACATCAACTTTGCTCACGGTGACGAGGAATTGGAGGCGATCTACGGATCTAGCTTGGACAGACTGAAGACTCTCAAGACGAAGTACGACCCCTCGGGAGTCTTTGGTCAATGGTTCAAGATCCAGTGAAGGATGCTTCTAATTGAAGAACTTCGATACCGCATAGGCAATAGTTCCGAGAAGCCATGGCATTATCATGGATTAATGAAGTTATGGTTTGCAGGCTTTGTGAATTTTGAGGTGACTATAAGAAGACACTTGTGGGAAGGCGATTTACTGTCATTGAGGCTGTCCTGTCATTTGACCATGGATAACCATCCTCGCGCTGCCCAAGTCAATCTCTTTGAGGTTGACAAATTTCGTCTTCTTTGCAAACTTCCAGCCCACAGCCAAAATGATGAATAGCAAAACGACGACGTAGTTCTGGAAGAATGCCTCGACATCCCAAGGAGCGAAAGACGTCCACCCCTGGAAAAAGATGAAGAACGTGTTGCCGGCTAGGCCCAAGTAGGCACAGAAACGCCAGGCGGGTGCTTGAAAAGGAAGGACATCGGCGCTAATGTTCTGTGCAGCAAGGGCCATCCTCAGACGGATATGATTGAGAGAAATCAGACCCCCTGTGATTCACAAGTGTTAGTGACGATCTCTGTATGGGAAGCGTAGATGGCTTACATGTGATGAAAGTCGCTACACCAGTGATGGAAATGATCCAGGTGTAGACCACACCGGCTCCAGACGACAGGTTGAGAAGGGACAAGAAGCCGATAAGATTCATGACGACCAGAGAGACGACAGGGACACCGTTTTTGTTCGTCCACGCGAATATCTTGGGAGCTTGCCCTTCCTGAGCGAGGCCGTAGAGCGTGCGCGAGCCGACGTAGAGGGCTGCATTGATGGCGGAAAACATCGTGACGAGGATGATGGCGTTGACGACATGCGCCCCGGCGTTCGCGCCCACTCTCGTAAAGGCGATGACGAACGGCGACCGCGCCGTCTTGCTTGTCGCGGACAGCAGGTTCGGGTCATTGTAGGGCACGGTAATGGTAAGAAAGAAGATGCCCAGCAGAAAGATGCCGCAGATGCGCCATAGTACGGATTTGACGGCCTTCGGCACGTCGCGCGCTGGGTTGGCCGACTCTCCCGCAGTGAGTCCGATCATTTCGGTGCCGCTGTACTGCAGCGCTGCAAAGACAAAGACTTTGAAGACGCCTTTAGCGCCGTCGGCGAACGCGCCGGGATCATGGTAGAACTTGAACCCAATCTTCTCGCCGCCGAGGACGCCGGATGTTATGAGGATCGCGCAGAGGAAGAAGGCGAAGATGGCGAGGATTTTGACGAGGGCCAGCCAGAACTCTGCTTCGCCGAAGGATTTGACGCCGAGGAGGGTAAAGGCGAGGAAGAACCACCTGCAGGGTGCAGCTGTTAGCCTAATGAACCCGACAGCTTACAGGGCGAGAATTTTACCAGAAGATCAAGATCCACCCCCATCTCGGAACAGCAGTCTCCCAGTATGTCAAGACGAGGCCCAGATTGTCTGCATCAAAGATCAGCTTTACCAGACATGATATGACAACTGATAATATTCTTACTGTATTCCGCAATGATGATTCCAGCCCAAAGAAGCCAGTAATTCCAGCCGAGCGCAAACCCAACAGCTGGGTCAACGAAGGTGGAAGTGTAATGCGTGAAAGAACCTACATACCGCGACAAGCTGTTAGCAACTCAATCTTGATCGGAAGCGAACCTTGTAACAAACCTGACAGCGGAATGAAAGCACCGAGCTCGCCCAGGGACTGCATAACAGCCCAGAGCAGCACGCCGACAACCGTGAAGCAGAGAAGGAGTCCCGCCGGCCCGGCGCTCGTCAGACCCGTGCCCATTCCAACAAAGTACCCAGGCCCAATGACACCGCCAATAGCGAGCATCATCTGCACCAACAGAACCGAGTTAGCCCACAACAATCGCTGAAAACACTGGGTCGTCAGCAATTCGACGCACCAAGTGACGGCCTGATAGCCCTCTATGCAGGCCGGGTCCGCCGCCCGTAGTAGTCGCTGTCTCCCCATCGTGGGCAGTCGATGTTTGCTTCAACGCATTGTCGTCTTTTGA